GACTAGATCCATCTTGCTGTAAAAGAATTCTGTTTACTACCAGTTCATTTATCTTTTTGCTATTATGAGAATGTCCTTGATGCAGCATCCCAAGACCTCCTTTGCTGTGCTTCTTCAAGGGCAAAAAACCCAATTCCTTCCATGTACAATGGGACTGACAAGTGTTCAGCTTCCCTTGATGCTTTCATTCATTCCAACAAGAAGCTTTCATTAGAGTGGGGAAAATATATTGATTTCTTGTCCGGCTTAATCAGTCTAGGTTCAGGGGACCACAGGGAGGACTTGACTATACTAATTTTATAAACATGAACAAGAGGGGGGCGTTTGTCATTAAGTTTAAGAATCTTACATTTGGGTTTCGCTCATGCTAAGTTTGCTGTACTTTCTCTGAAATTGCTCTGCCTCACTATTTATCTAGGTTTGACGTTCATTCTCATACCATCTCTTTCCTCCGTAGTTCAACCACACAATTTAGAGAAACTGAAATTTTCTTTCTTTTTTCTTCCTTTCTCTTCCCTTTCATTTCCAGATCTCCCTACTATGAATTGGCATACTTATCCCTTCTTCTTAAATCTGCCAAAAAAATCCTTTATACTGCTCTTATTTTTTCTCTTATTTCAGAAATATTTCCTAACATTTTTTTTATATGTGAAATCTCTTGTCATTCTTTTCAGTGCGAATGCCTCAAGTATCATCTATTTCTGCTGTGTAGTTCTCTCTTTCTTCCTCTTCCTTTCAATTCTTTTACTACCTTCCTGTAGTCCTCCTTTTCTACTTACCACCACTATACTTCTAAATTCATTTATTGCTGCCTCACACAACTGTCCTTCCTTCCCTTAAATTTTTATCTATTCTGTTTACGGTTGGACTTGATGATCTTTGAGGTCTCTTCCAACCGTAATGATTCTATGATTCTTTCGGGGGTTGTTTCTCCACTATTAGTCTTTTCTTTGCAGTTGCATTCAGGATTAAATCAGGCTGATTTTAGAGTGGCAGGAGGAAGTCATAGACAGCTAGGAGGTTCTGCCTGTTCAGGCACAGCACTCTGTCCTCACCACTTCACTTCTAAGGCCTGTCATGCCACTCTGCATGTTTTTTGGTGTTTTAGAGTGTTCTTCTTTATGGCTTTTTAGCATAAACTTATCTAATCCTTCACTTCTTCTTTTTCCCCTTGTTTCCTTGTCACTCCTTGTGCTTTCTGCATTTGACATTTGGGTCGTCTTTTCTTGTTCACTTCCTACTCATTACCATGTATTTTGAATGAGTGGCTACTTAAGTCTTCTTAGGTTTCCCTTTCGTAAATTCTCTCCTTCTCTGTTTCACTTTTTTGCTTAGAGCAGGCAGTGAAACTCTTTCTGTGTGTTGGAAATAACCAATCCCAAAAGATCCTCACCTTGCCCAGAAACAGGGATTACAGCTAGAGTGTGAAAGGATGATAGTGCCTCTGGTGGGTTCCCTGTATGACGTCACATCATGATGTGACATACTATCCTCCAGGCTCAGCTCTCACTGTTTCCAAATGATGGTAACAGATAAGGACAGTCCCAAAGCACCCTCCCTTGCTAATATGCATGTGTGCTGTTCTGCTCTTCCTATCCAGTTTAAAGTAAAATTCTTCCTGTAACAAACTTAACATGTGGCCAGGTCACTGCAGTTTAGGAGATGGTATACCACATTTTTCCAAAAATTGAACAGGGAGCAGAACCAGTCTGACTGATCAGTCTTCTGCATCTACTAAGAGATACAGTACCTGTACACTGTTATATCTGAGTGAGTGGTTGTGTGTTTGGGGGTATGTACAAGTTTTGATGGTATTTACTATTTGTTTAACAGACCACAATTGCTCTGAAGAAGTCATTACAGTCAGTTATGAATATCTGAGCTTAAGTATTTATTGAAAAGTGGATTTCTTGACATGATATATAGAGTCATTAAGTTCTGCAATATAAATCCTTTGTACAGTCCTTAGTTAGCAAACCACTGAAGCAGGCATCTGCTCTGAGCCAGGCTCTGTGCTATGCATATATGTTGTCATAGGAACTGCTTTTAAAGTTGCAGGAGAAAAACTGCCACGAAGTATCAAATTCTAAGTATCAATAATATGAACACCATAACTCCTTTCTGATTAGTTAAGGATCTTGGGTTATTTTTAACTTTCCCTTAAAAATAATTATAATAATGGGTTTGGGTTGTTTGAGCTAAAAAAATATGTAAACAGTTCATTTTTACTGATTTAACACTGATCAAGTTTGGAGGTCTTTTTCTAAATGGAGGGAGATCTTCTGGTTTGGTATTAATAAAAGAAATATGAGGAGTAATTTCTCTTCACTATGTTGTATAATTTTGGAGTAGTATCTTTACAACCCCAGCACCCAACGATCTCCCAACACTTGAGTAAGTAGCACGGTTTAGCAGCGTTTACAATTCCTTCTGACGGCTTCCAAGCTGCTGTTTCTCAGTAGCAGTATATGGCCTTCAGTAAAGCCTTCATCCTGCAGTGTTAATATGCATGATTCTCTGAGACCACGGGCTTCAGCGACACTGAAGAATGTTGCTTTTTCTAATCTTCACACTTGTGATCAAAAGGATACTTTTACTGTAGCCTTTCTTATGACCAAAAGGTTTTAAAAATAATTTTATTTTCTCCGTGTAAAAATGTTCAGGCACTATTGATATGGGCGCTAAAGTACATATCTTCTTTGAGTCACACAAGTTTTCTTATAAAACTGGAGTTTCAGCAACAAACTTTTAAACAAATTATTTCCCATACACTGGGTCTGGCTGGGATACAGTTAATCTTTTTCATAGCAGCCCATAGGGTGCTGTGTTTTGGATCTGTGGCTAAAACTGTTGATCACACATCAATGACCCCCCACCAATGTATGGGGGGCCAACCCACTATGGCCATGAGAGTCAGGCTATGGGAAGGTCCATCCGTGTTAGAACTGAAAATCTCTTGCCACAGAATAACAAACAGCGTGTGACTTGAGTGCTTTCAATGCTGCACGCGATATATTAAATATGCTCAAGGAACCTGTGTTGTATACCTTTTTCCTATTGCAGGTTACATGATCACGCCTAGAGGTGTTTGTTGTGGAGAGCTGAATGATTTACTACTTAATATCAGCTTTTTCTCTCTTGTTTTTAGCCCCTTGTGAAGCCAACACATTCTTTTGCCACAGTAATATGTGTATTAACGACACATTGGTCTGCAATGGACTCCAGAATTGTGTGTATCCTTGGGATGAAAACCACTGCAAAGGTAATGTATAGAATTGGAAATAAGTCATTTAGACTGCGTGGGATACAGAATATTATCCTTAGTTTCCTGTTAAGTATGTGCCAGATGGGTTAAAGCTCAGGAAGAGTAATTCAGGGAGAGCACACATCAAGCAAAAGAGAAAATGAAGACGGGTAAAAATACTGATGGATTTTACTTTCAGTGTTTGCATTTGTTTTGCTGGGAGTTGATTTGTGTTGGTTATGTCCTTCTGGCAGGCTTTCTGATCACTTGGTCTCTGTTTCCCGTACAATCTAAAATGTAATTAAAAGTCATATTTTGATTCCTTTGTCATAGTTACCGTTGTAGTGGAGTAACATATGGGTAGCAGGTGTCTTTTAGCTGCGTACCATGCCCATAAGAGCCCAGGTGGGCTAAAAAGCCAAGGTAAAGTGGAATTAATGCTGTAAGAAAGCAACCAAATCTACTTATAATCAAGTAAAATTGAAGAGCAAGGAACAAGCGTGTGAAATCAGGCATAATGTCTGTTTTATAGGTAGGGACTGGTGTTCCTAACCAGGCGCTGACAATGGTTTCTAAATATTGCTCTGTCTTTCTGGAAGAAAAAAATCAGCATCTGTGTTGTCTTCAGGGAAAAGAGCTTAACTAACTTACATCGCAGGCTAGGGAGACAGTTTGCTTCCCTCCCACCCCCCACCCCCCCGCTACTGCAGATTTGTTCCTGGAAACATGGGATATGCCAAATTTAGGAACCAATCAAGAAAAAATTCAGAATGAAGTGGATTAGCAGTCAGCCCATAAGTCTGTTGAAGCCTGTAAAACCCTGACAAGCAGTGCAATAACACAAATGAAAACATACTTCAAAAGAACACAGCAAAACTGTGGCATGGCATAACATTCTTCAAAGAAACTAAAGATATGACTGGGAAATAATTGTCTGTTCTCTACTTCTTCAGCACAGAGGAAAACAGAAAACATTCCCCACTCTTTAATTTCCAGGATTCTTTTCATCTTTCGTTTTGCCAAGTATCTTTTTATTGGGTCTTGTGCATTTATCCTCTCGTGTTTTTCTGACTAGAAAAGAGAGGTTTGCTGATCACAGCACAAAGGTTGGTTGCTGCTGTGTTGCTTTTTCGAACTCTGCTACTTCCCCGGAGTCTGTGTCCATCAGTTAGAGAAACCCTAGGTGAATCTGCAAGAGTAGGCAATGGGGAGTACTGAAAAGTTAATTTTTGGTACCCAGGAGATTATGAAGAAATGGATGTTATTGTTTTGGTGCCAATAACTTTCATTTCAAAGGCTTTTTATTAAGTCCTTTGATATGTTTTAGGTTGCCAGGAAAAATTACACTCAACTGGTTGTTGAAAGTCAATCACAGTTGTCAAGTCTTGCTATGCCTGTGACTGATGTGACTGCCTTCAGCTTGGATTTCTACAAGGCTCAGTCACGGTCTCATGTGTCTGTCACCGTCCGAAAGCAAATCGCAGAGAAATTTACACAATAGTAGGGTGAAACTGGTTTACTTTTTATTCTTTTACTGCATATTTTCTGTTTTTTCTTCATTCACAATGCTGAATTTGCTGGCTAACTTCCTAGAGGCCCCTGAGTGAAGGATAGTAGATAGGATCAGCTTTTGGATTTTTATGGACGTTGAGAAAAGTTACGGTAATTAATAGATCAGGAACAAAAGAAATAACTTGCGCACTTTTTTTTTTCCTTTCTCAAACCTCAATTGGAATAACTTTTCTCCTGATTTAGCTTTTTCATTGAATACTGTCAACAGTCCCAGTCAACTCATAAATATTAGGACTTCATCGAAGTTCCCAATGCAAAGAAGAATTTCTTTTTAAATCCTGTAAAGTCTTGCTCTTTCATTGGTCCTAGTGTCCTAGTTGCATATATTTACTGGAAGAGAGAAAATAGTGAAGAGAATATCTGTAACAGTCTTGGGGGCTTTAGCAGACAAAGGGAGTTCAGAGGTGACACTAAAACCATCTGCTTGTTATGGTGGCTGCTATTTATAAAAAATGTAAACAATTCTTTCATCTAATTAAGCTTGTAATATACCCTGAATAAATCATTTTCCAAGTGAACAGGCGCACAGAGGACCTGTGTGTTGTTTATTTGACTTTCACGAATACCTGATTTCTTTTTTCTTTTTGTTGGTGAGATTGGTTAAGTGAACTCAGACAAGGCTTAGCTTTGCAGCAATCTTTGAACCCATCATGGTTGTTTTTATTCTTGAACTGCAATTAACGCTGTGCTTTTTCTTTTCTCCTGTCACACAGAAAAAAGAAAAGCTAACCTATTGGACCAACTTACCAATACCAGTGGGACTATAATTGGGGTGACTTCTTGCATTGTGATCATCCTCATTGTTATCTCTGTTATAGTACAGATCAAGCAGCCTCGTAAAAAATTTGTCCAAAGGAAAACAGACTTTGATCAAACAGTGTTCCAGGAGGTGTTTGAGCCTCCTCATTATGAGTTATGCACCCTCAGAGGGACAGGGACTACAGCTGACCTTGCTGATGTTGCAGATGACTTTGAAAATTATCATAAACTGCGGAGATCATCTTCAAAATGCATTCATGACCATCACTGTGGATCACAAGTGTCTAGCATTAAAGGCAGCCGTAGTAACCTCAGCACAAGAGATGCTTCTGTCTTGACAGAAATACAACCCCAGCCTGTAAAACCACTCATTCAGCCCATGAACAGGAGAAATATCCTTGTCATGAAGCATAGCTACTCACAAGATGCTGCAGACGCGTGTGAGATAGACGAAATTGAAGAGGTACCAACCACAAGTCACAGGCTGTCCAGACATGACAAAGCTGTTCAGCGGTCAGTATCAATAGATTTTTGATGAAGACTATTGTGTAAGGACTTGATTGCCCAAACATATTCACTCTTTATTCAGTAAAGACATATTTTCTTTCTTCTTTATTTATTGTTTAAATTTCTGTTTCCTGATAACACATACCATTATATTATCTCTCTCTTCCTCTCTCTCTCTCTCTCTCTCTTTCTCATATCTCTTCTCCTGTTTCCTGAAGGATCCTGTATCTCGGTTTTACCTTTCTACTTTATATCTTTCTTTTTCTTTTACTATTTTACACATACCCACATGCATGCACACACAAGTCAACAGAGAACAGGTACAATTTTTGAAAACCAAAGAAGATTTTGTGTGAATCTAGTTTTTGAAAGAGCCACATACATGTGATTTCCTTGCAACTGAGGTGGCCTTGAGTATCATCCACGGTTGGTCTAACATTTCTAAATCAATACACCAATAAGTAGAAAACACATGTATCCATTTTGATGCACGGCACAATAATGAGAACCACAGTCCTGGGGTAAGGAAACCCCTTTTCTCATGAAATATTATCTTTTCTACAGTGAACGACAATATTTTCAAAACTTTACTGTATCTGTTCCATTATTAATCACGATATCTTAGCTTGTCATATTAACACATATATATAAATCCATTAGAACATGAGACAGCATAATGAATAGAGAATACTCATATATTTACATATAAGAATGTAGTTAAAGGAACCTTTCTAATCAATAAAAAGTAACATCAAGCATGATATTTTTAATAAAAGAGTTATTTCTACTGTATATTGCACTTTGAATGACTGTAAATATGAATGATTAAAAGTTTACAAGTAAAAGAAAAAGAAAAGCAGAAACATTTATGAACATTTTATTTGAAAAAGAACACACAAACTTTATATATATATTTGTGTTTTCTCTTGCATGCGTTATTTATGCACTTCTTGTGGCTGTTTACACGTCCTCCATATTTCTTTGCACATTAAGGCATATGAAAATAAGTTATTTGATTATTTTAATCTAATTGCATGTCAATGTAAATTGCTTCATGAATATTGATCAGATTATCAAGATGTACTGTTTATTAAGTATCTATATGCATATATTTCTTTTTTTCTATGCAAACATTATTATTTTGAATGAAATAGCCATAACATTCCAGGTTCTGCCTCATTGGGTCTCTAAGCAAACATGAGTCTGAGTACAACACAACTAGGGTCTAAGAGACAAACCTGAGGTAAGTAAACATACCTATACAACAATTGAACCATCTGTTGCTTTCCATTTTATTTGTTATATTGCTAAAATGCATGTTAGTTCCTAAGTTATAAGTCACCTTGTATGGGGAAAGCCAGGTTTGAATACTGAGAAAACTGAGAGACAGATGACCACCCTAGCATTGCAAGCTAAGCAAACTCTATTAATTCCTTACTCTTGACAGCACGATAATCATCCCCTAGCTAAATATAATCTTCATTCCAAACACAATATAAAGATAGATGCTTTACATGGTCTGATGTTTCCTTTATTCTTTCATTTATGAAAATAAATTTTAGAGTCCCAGCATGTGAAATAGTATATAAAAACTGACAATCTAACCCAAGACAGGAAGATGTGGAACTATTTGTTTTCAGTTCATTTTATTCATTCAGCCTTGTGAAGTGTTGAGGGAAGGGTATGTGCTAGTACTGATAAATCTAGAGATTCTGTAGCGCTAATGTTAACGTTTGCAAATTAAACTTCCTTTTTTGAATCTTTTCCTAGGCTTTTCATTTTGTATAATTTGTTATCAACGCTTAATCTCAATAAACATAATCTCAGATGTTTATGATGAAGTTATAGACAGCTGCTAGTCTGTCAATTTATATATGTATATGTACACGTGTATATATATATAAACACAGATATGTGTATATACATGTTTGTATGTGTATATATGTATACAGCAATTTTACTAGGAAAGAATCCATTAATGCTTTTATTGCTTCTAGACAGTTAAGGTAAATATTTTTCTGTATTTTTCCTCATAGAGAGAACGTATTTTAACTTTGTTTTGCTTTCAGACAACTATTCATCCAAACTCTGAATGGAAAAATCTATAGTGAATTATTTCAGCTGCCTCAAAGAGAGAGCGGACATGTTTCTAATCTCATTTCATTGCCTTTATCCAAACCTAAGAAGTACAGGCATATCTTACTTCTTTAGCAAGATAATCCCATTGCACAACAATATCTTTCTTTTGTAATTTGGTTGCTGGCCACAAAGTGCTCCTTAGTTTTTTAATACATTTGGAGATTTGCTGCAAACTTGAAGAAGAAATTAGCTCCTAACAGACTGTCCCCCTTTTTTTTTTTTAATCTTAGTTTTATTTCAGTTGATATGTTTTATGTCTGTTATTTACTTGTATGTTGTGTGATATGTGGAAGAAGATTTACATTGAACTTTTGTTATATGTACGTTGTTTTCATTATATAGACTGCTTGAGAATAGTGCGCTCCTGGGTGATTTTGAACATGCTACAATGAAATGTGAAACTATCGTCCTTGGAAACACCAGCTAGAGGTTTTATGGACTCTCTGACCAGCTATTCTCATATCATGACAAAATTCAGCATACAGTGTTGAGTAAAATTACTAGAAGGCAATAAGACTTTGGTTATTATGCTTATTGGTCATCTCTTTTTTTCTTTTTCTCTCTTCTTTTTGTTACAAGTTAAATTCCCAATTTCAGGAACAATTTATTGAAATCAGGTATTTAGCCATTCATAATCACTTCAATAGAAATGTTTGTTGGATAAGCATCTAGCAATATGACTGAATTTGACATTGAGAAAATAATCTGCATGTATGTTACTGAATATTTGAGTTGGCAAAAATCCCTTTATTAGATACATTGTAAAAAGCATGCATTCACAATTATTGCTGTTATTGTTCCATTTCTGTGTCATATGCTTGCTACTTGTAACTTTTTATATAAAGATACATAAAACAATGTATAATAATTTCTTACCTTGAGTTTAATGGCAATGTTTTCTTTCACCAAATTCACAAATCTTGTATAATTCACAAAGTAAGCTCAAAATGTAGCTTCTATCAGCTGTCTCTTATCTCTCACCTCTCACTTATTGAAAAGAAAAATACATTAATTTTTTAAAATTTAAATTAATTTATAGTACATAAAGTTGACCACCTAATTTCAGTTAAAAGGTTTGTGATAATCTTTGTGTTCAATTTGGTACTCTTAACTAATTTATTTCCATGGCAATTATTAGAAAGTTTGCTTCAGTGTAGCAGAGTAGCAGATTTTTATCAATTATACAAATGTTACAACTGGGCTCCAATTTTAGAGATACAGATATAAAACCATTTCCTTATACAAGATAAAATTATATTCATGATTCAAGTTATAAACGTTAGTAACCAACACTGAAATCAAACCTGAAAAGTTAAGTTATTAAGGAATTACTGTAGATTGAAAAACCACAATTATGTGAAGTTGAACTTTAATTTAAGAACTTGATAACCATGCATAAAACCATAGTTTCAAATCATAGTTTCATTATCTATTTAAAGTGTCATCTTCCAAATTCTGTTTCAAAACAAGTCTCAGTTCCTTCTTAAACTTATTGTATCACTCACAGTTGTTAGATTTTTCGGTATAAAAATTTTGCTAATTTTATTGAAAAAGTGGGAAGAATTCCATGGATCTTCCTGAAGTATAAATAGATGAGAAAAGAGAAAACCTGAAAGACTGACGTAAAAAATTAGGTGATCTATATCAGCTATTTAAATATAGAGTACACAATTTACATAATTGAAAATACAGGAAATCTGATTTCTGCAAAACAATTTCACAAATGTGATTTAGGAATGACATGAGAAGAAGAAGGGGTTTGGGTATTTGCCTCCTTTTTTGTACACTATATTTGCAACGTATTTTTCATAATTTAATTTTAGCTCGATTCATTTGTTTGTTATCACATATTAGCTGCAAAAAACAGTCCTCTGTCCTCTGCAGTCACTGAGAGTTGTTATCTCCCAGTTACATGGATTTTTAGCATGCACTAATAGTTCATTTCCAGATCAGTATCATTTTCCAAGTTCATATACTTTATCACTGTTTTTTTTTTCCTTAATCTTTCCGAGTCCTTAAGTGTATTATGTTAAGATATTTGCCACATCCAGCTTAAAATGGATGCATCAATACATCCATTATAAAATCAAGGAAGAATGAAAGACTTGCTGAAAGAAATGCATATACATACACACACATTTATGTATATTTATAAATATTTGCTAATGGAGATAGTCTACAAATAAATATATAAGGAGAAATCTAAATATGTGAATTTAGCTTTGAATGAGTTATATTGGTCACCTAGAAAAATGCTGAAGCCTTGGATTTTAAAGTCGCTACATATTTAAGTGCCTAAATCTCGCTGAAACATAGACTTGGTCTAATCCCTCCTAAACAAGCACACAATGAAGTCCGTTTTGCGATTTTGCCAGTGAAGTGTTGACTGAGAGAACTTCACTGGAGAAGACATGGGTATTAATGATTATGTTGCATGCACATCCTTGCTTTCTTACAAAAAACTAATTCTGACAGGGAAAATGAGCGAGAAACATAAAAAACTGTAAATAGAGCAGGTCAAACAAAGTGAGAATGGTAATGCTTGCTTGATCTTGGAAACTTCTTTAGAAACATGTTGTCTGATAGGTAGGTATACCCTTAAACAAAAACACCATTGTAAGTGGCAAAATACGCATATACTGGGGGAACAGGGTCAAATTATAAAATGATCTGTTAAAAAATAAACAACAATAAATCCAAATCAAACTAAAATAATTTAAATATTTAATTTTAAGTAATTGTATTCTGTATATAGTCAGTGTAAATAATAGCCTAGTCCACTATACTGCAAACAGTAAAGATAACTTTTGTTTGGTGAATATCTTAATGTGCTCTATAAAACTCAAAATATTAAAATAAAAGGGGTTGTTGCTGAAAGTAAACAGTTTGCCTTTCCTATAAGTAATTTTTATTATTATGAAGCCACTTTTTTAAAAAGAGAAAGAGGTTCAAGCAAGCTAGATCAAACAGACAAGCTGGTTCAAGCAACTTCAAGTTCATTCAAGTTAAATTAGCTATAAAGAGAGTACTCAAAACTGGTATTTGGCCACATATTATAAGTAAGATTTAACCTATTCTTTTACACTTTTTTCTATTTCATGGAAAGAAGGTTTGGCTTGTTAAATTAACACGGCTACATGTATTCTGTATAACAACTTAGTAAATTACTGTGGATTAGCGGAGCTGGTAGTGCTAGCTTCATACATTTTACCTCACGTTTGCCTTAAAGCTAAAACTAAGAATGGTAGTTACTAGACTGTTTTGGTTTGGCTGGTGCAATGTGTGTGATGTATAGCCATGTTGACAGTACGCTTATTTCTTAGCTATTTTTTAAAGACGAGTTTTTGTTATCACAGTGCATTGCCATATTGTTCATAGTTTTGCTTTTTTGTTCTTTTTCCCCATGGATGTAGTGTTATGTATATACTTTTCTTTGTAGATGATAGTGTGAACAACCACTCCCAACCATTTTTCTCTGCTCCAGGAAATATGGTCTTTTCAGTGTACGAAGTCTTCTCTGCAGCATCATTTAAAAATCTCAGGAAGCCCATTTTGTAAACCATTCCAGTGTAAACCTTTTATATCTTCCCAATTCTAAAAACAGCTTGAAGAAAAAAAAAGGCTCTGAGAAATGTTAGTACCTTATCCTTCTATTTTTCTCCATTTTTATGCTGGAGATATTCTCTTTAACTTAGCAAGGATGCAAACAATGGGAGGGAATACGAGAAAGTAGGAAGGTTTCCTGCTCAAAAAAAAAAAAAAAAATGCTAGTACCAAAACTAAAAAGGTAGACAAAGAAAAGAAACAGAGAAAGATATGCTGATTTGAAGAAGAGTATGAAGGATTGTTGCTCACACCCATTCACAAATTTACAGACACATTTAGGACAGATAACTTCCTTACGCACCAAATAAAAATGTACTGTCCATGTCCAACTCGAAAAGATAGCTGTAATACCTGTGCTTTGTAGAACACTGTCCTGCAAACAAGAAGTTGGACTTTTGTGTTTTCCTGTCGTGGACTTTATGCGCAGTCTCCCTGCTACCACAAAGATATTCCAGCTGAGGGAGCACAGCTGAAGAGCTAAGTGATGCAAAGGACGAAAACTGCACCATTTAAAACTCTTTTTAACACAGAAGTCTGTATCTGATCTGGGAGTCTCATCTCCTCTCTTGACTCAATATTTGATGTGAAGTCCTGGACTCATGGCTCCACTGTTCTTCCTCACCATTACTGTAGCATCATCTCTCTTTACTCTTTGATGATAATTTTACATCTTTATCACTTCTGCCTTTCATTTCTGTCTGCAGTAAGTTTAGTTCTGTTCACTTCTTTCCTCCAAATTCACTGAAAATGCTGAAACCCTGTCAGCTCACCCCCATTGTCTTACCCTTGCACCCACCTGGCTCTTTCCCATCTATCACTTCAGAGCCATCTTAACCTTAACTTGCCTATAAACAACAAAATGAAATTGTGATCGCAACATATCTTAATTGCCTTTAATTTATGCAGCACAACAAAAAACTATGAAGATGCGTTGGAATGGATGGGAGTATGGGCTTTTTAGGAATACTGGATTTGCATTTTAATGACTGTGCATCAGTGTTGTCCAGGCCGTCTACCTCTGGGTTGGCACCCCTGCTCCTGCTATAGTCATACCTCGATGTGCCACAAAGAGAAACTCATCTCCACCCCTTTTCTTCTCCTGGTGATACCTGCACCATTGTCAAACCAAGTTTTGTTTCAAGCACCTTTATGTTTTCTCCTATGCTGTATTTATATTAGTATGTCCCTCCACACAATGTAAATCCCCGTCCTAGCCTCCTTTAGGTGCCTATTAAGACATATTTGAGCTACATAGCCTGGCAAACAGCTGCCAGTTGTGCAGCAGAGCTCATCGGCAAGGTAAGAACATCAGCTACCAGGAGAAGCAGGGGTTGCTGCTTCCGTCCGTTTTCTTTCCCAGGAAAAGGAGTCGTGCTGGTCTGCTATCTCCCAACAAGGTCACTATGGGAAAAAAGGGAAGCCTCCATCCCCTTCAAGCAACAAACCATGACTAGGAGTAGAGAGACAATCTAAGCAGCCCGTGATGAAAAACAGAAAGAACAAGATCACTCAGATTTCATTACCAAACAGGCCTGACCATCACCGTGCAGCAGCACTGCATCTCTTCGTTCTCAGCTAAGGGAAGACTGAAGTGCAATCCTTCCTTTATCCCAGGGAGCAGGATACCACAACTGTGAGTATCGATTCTGTTCAGGGCTCTGGAAGGACTTGACAGCTGCTTGCATAAATGTGGGCAGACAAGGGCTTACTGGGTCTATAGGAGCAGTCTTGTGCTGCCTCACGCAGTGGACAGCTCTGCAATATCTAGTTACTCAGAACCGTTAAGTTTGCCATTCTTCAGTCTGTCCTCCTCAGCTCCAGTAAGAAACATAGTAAACGCACTCAACTATTTCTAAAATGGTGGCTTCATTGGAAAGTGGATACTTGACATATAATTCAATTGGATGTGAAAAACATCCATGGCACTTGCTGCAGCCATTGTAAAAAAAAAAAATAAATAATTGGGGGTTTTTGCACAGGTCCTAGATACATATATCTGATTAAATGAACCATTTGGATGCATCAACTGCATCACGAGACAAAGACATCTTCCATCTGAGGTTTTGCTAATAAAACTACAGGGCCTGATTCATGCTCTATTCACATCATCCTTCTAGATTCTGTTTTTTTCTGAATTCAGTGAAAATTTTAATTAGGTAAAATAATTTTGTTGAAAACAAATGACTTTCACCGTCTTTAGTGAAGCACAGAATACAATTTATATTGGGAAGGAGAGCTTCATTCCTCCTTTCTTGCTTAGTG